GGTGACAAAACGCGTTCCCGCCCAGTTTTGATGCCCGTATAAAGCCTGCATATTCAAAGCAAAGGGGAAAATGTGTTGAACCAAAAAAAGAAAGTCTAAATTGCACATTAAGAAATACTCTTCTCATATTCATAATAATTGTTGTTTTAAGATATTGTACAATAATTAAGAATATTTTTTTTTTGCCCGTAATAACCCTATTTAATGAAGATAGAGATGAATATTTTGAAAAAAAAAAAAATAAAGAGTGAATATGAAAAGACGCAATATATTTGTTACTAAAAGAGGGTAATAATGAAAAAATATGTTCAAAATATCCGAAACGATATTTATTTTGTTGATGGTTGATAAAACTAAAATGACATTTAAAAATAATAAGAGGTAGTATATTTTTTTTATTTACATTTTAATATTAAATTTTCAATTTTGATAATATTGGACAGAGTCCTTATTTCGTGTCTCAGATAACCAGGCGAATAAATAACGAGTAAGGCTACAAAGTCTCGTTACGAAATTATTCTGTTGAGATCATTTAACGTTACATGCACACGGAGAATAGTGTAGCATATACATCTAACGATTAAAAATACAGCGGCATTGTTCCGTAACGGGACTGTAGTCCTTTACCAAAAAACATTACACATCTTATTTATTGTGCTTCAATTTATTAAAAAAAAAAAAAGAAAAAGGTTGTTTTATTGTATTGTCAAAATTAAATTGAAACTAAAATACAAACGAATTATCCATAATTAAAATACCAAAGTAGAATGAAAATTATTAAATGCTCCTTTTCTTTTTTTTTTTTTTTGGCGAACAAAAATTGTCAAATGGAGTTGGAAGATTCGCAACATGGTGCGGAGGAATAAAACGTGGCGTTCTCTGATTGGATGAATTTAGCTGTAGTGGGACCATATGGGGGGTTTTGATTAGGTCGGATCGAATTCCTTTCGAATATACAATTAAACATGTCGTTTTCGTCATTTTTTTTTTTTTTTTATTTTACATTATATTCTATACAACACACTATTCATATGGATAATACATTTTATATTTTATTATAGAATCTAAATATAGTGATCAAGCTGTAATAATGTACTGTTTGTTTTGGAGGCTTACTTGTTTATTAGCAATTCGGAATATAAAATTTCACGATAAGTATGAGGATTATGATTCTCTTAAAATCGCATCAGATTAGTTGAGTCGATTGGTGTAAACAAGCTGCGTCGAGCTCAAAATCATGTATGATCAAGTTCGAATTTCAACGAGTTGAGTTTGATTAGTTTCGTTTAACAACTTTACTTGTATTACATATTTAATTTTTTTTACCGTTAACTAGATGTATTAAAGACAAAATATGGTTGCCGATTATGGTTGGCATTTACAAGACGTGCCTTAACAGTTTTTAAAATTGATGATTTTATGGTTAATATGTACGTTTGTTAGAGTCACGTTGAGAAATAGAAATACGATTGTCGTCCAGAATAAAAAATCCTAGCTTTATATATAGCTAGGTCATGCAACAATTTTTAACATTATGGGCTTTCATAAACTAACCTAAATTAAACCAAACTAAACCAACAAAATATAATAAATAATTATAATCAACTAATTATCGTAGCCAGCGGGCCTTGAAATTATCCTACGGGATCTTCTCTGGGCAAAGCTCGCATCTCCATCAACATCAAGGCTCGAGCCCTTGGTCGTATCAACTCCCCTTGTCTTCACTAACACCTTGTCCTCAATGTGAAAGTTAGGATGCTTCACGAACAGTATCTAACTCTCCCAGGTTGCATCCTCCAATGGCAAATTACCATCCCACTGGATTAAAACTCGAGACTTGACCACACAATGTTTGAGCACCGAGCGCGATTGAAGCACCACTGAAGGAGCTAATGTCGGGTAACCATCGACCTCAACCGACAATGGAGTAATTGGGGCAATGGAAAAGATCATAATTTACCGTAGAATACCATTCATTGCACATAAATACAAGGTTGGAAAAACAAACCAAGTTACTCAAATATTCATGTTAAAACATGGCAGCGTGTTTGATGGGATTTTTTTTCACGCGGTCGTTTATTCTTCATGCGAAACTTCTATTTTATTTCATGTGATGTGATTGGTTATATTGTTCTAAAGTTTTCAAACATTTGTTTCTAAAATTATTATTGTTATTATCTGTTTGTTAGATTATTATAACTTAAAAGACGTGACCTAGTGCCTTAATTTGAGGCATCTCAAATACAATTGACGAGTTCAAAGACAAGATGTTAGCGTGGAATTTTGCGTGTTGTGTTACTAATAGTACTAAGGGCAGAAATTCTGTCGAAGTTTGTAACCGTTAAATCAATTATCTCTGACAGCTACATGATGATCTAGCGGTTACGAACCCCGACAAAATAGCTTCGTAACGAGACCGTATTATTTCCCATAGTAAGGTGTGTGCACAATTGCGATTGTACCAAAAAAAAAACATTCACAACTTTAACTCGATATCATTATCCTCAATATTATAAATATGATTAAATAATATCTATAAATAATTATTACACATCACATCAATTTTAATTCAATATTCATATACTAATATAGTTTAAACTACCTATCATTTTCAATTATCTACTTCTACTTTTAATCAAATCAATTTTAATCATTTTATTTAAAATATTATCTTATACAAACTTAAAATCACACCAACAACTACTCATACTAACTTTTCGAAATTAACTCCGATTAACTAAAAAAAAAAAAAATCAATCAAATACCAATATATTTATAAACAAGCAAGCCCTTAGTTTGGTGGTTGGGTGATAAATTGAATGCCAAAAAATTTGTCCATGAACTTTTATGGATAAGAGTAAAATGTATGTTTACTAACAAAAAATGTGCACGATATATATCCCAAAAGAAAAAAATATCAATGACTTCATTATCAACTACATCTCTTTAATATATCTTCCTCATAATGTTCTAGAGCAGCATCTAAAGCCTGCATCAGGACATTAGAGCTGCTGTAAATCAAAGCTTTTATCAAGATACATGAACTTTATGTAATATCATATGTGTCTAAAAAACTTCACAACGCTAAAATACCTGAAGCATGGGATGGACAAGCAAGGAAACCTGATGGCGAATGTCTGGCTGCACAGATTCCTTAATTTCCTGACAAAATTTCGAGACAGCAACAATCTACAGTTAAGGTTTGCCAGATTCCGAAGAGCAAAGCAAAATATCCATTCACACGTAAGCGGCTCTATTTTAATCCTAGGATTATAAGATTATACGCGATAATATGCTAATAGCTAGAAGCAAAAGAAATACCTGAACCTTTGGATACATATTTGACATTGCACCTCTCAATCTCGTCACCTGTCACGAGTAACATGTCAAACTCTAAGAGTCGGAGATATGGCATAAGTTGGAAAAATGCATTGACCATGCGTATATTAGAATGCTCGTCTTCCATACCCAATCAATATAACTTACCTAATTAAAATTTTAATTCCTTTGGAAAACATGACGGTCTACCAATT